CCGGCTGGCATGGTCAGAGCAGGTGCCTGGGAGAGTTTATCGCGTGCATGTCTGAGTCGGCTCTGAATTTGATTGGCCGGTTTGGGTAGATGTGATTGGCTGGGGTGGATACAACACGAATCTAGTGTTAAGTTTCCTTGCAGCAAAAAACCAAACACCTCAGACCACCTCAGTTTGCATCTATTCCTTCACTTGCTCCCGTGGGTCACGGTATATTGATCGTACGAGTCGGTGCCTATCCAAGAGAATACGTGAACACCTCCCGGCATGGCTGGAAAAAGGCGAAAGTAAGAGCATAAGCAGAGCCATTCTCGCGCATGTTGTTGATTCCGGACATCGCGTAGATCCTAGCAAAGCTTTTCGCTTGATTTATAATGTTCCATCAAGCTAGCTTAAGTTACTGAGCCAGCGCCTGCTACTAACAACAGAAGCGGCCGCCATCAGGTTAAGAAAACCAATTTTGTGCGCACAGAAGGACCACGTTTAGGCCCCGCACCTACAGTGGTCGGAGGTCGACTAACGCCGCGACCCTCCCCCCCTTCGTTCTCCCCCCGCCCCTGACATTGTTTGTTTTTATCCCCCCCCCACCCCCGCATGTCTTTTAAGACAAATTGTAATCGATTTCTCTTATCACTGAAATACATTCGCTTCTAACCCGTTCCCATATAATTGAGCTGGCCTAAGGAGAATTTATCGAAAGCAACGTATGCTCGCCACCTTGTCTTCTGATTACAGCTATGGGAATTTTTGCAACTCTAACATCAAGCATTGTTTAAGTTGATCCAAACGCCCTAATAGTCGGGGTTTGGAAATTTGCCGATTCAGGCGATAACTCGGTCCAACTCAAATATGAGAATCAGGTAGCATTGACTGTTTATGGCACTCTCGCGCATATATCGGTTCCCTCTGAATGGGGTCTAGTAAGAATGGTGTTGGGAACCTGAAAACCATGATAAGCGTGAACGGCTCCTGTCGGTCACCGTGCCAACATCCACGTCTGGTGGACCTGACTTGACTTGCAATCGGAACGCTGTAAATACGCGAGAAAAGGATAAGGTGGGTGCAACGAAAGTTGACCTAACGCTCTGACCACGTCTGTATCTGACAACGGCAATTTGACCATCGTTACAGACGATGTTCACCATGTGCCCTGCGGAAGGGTGGGCACAGAGGGGGTAGTTTATGTACGGGTGAAGTACTCCAAACACACACGACCAGCCAAAGGTACCTGTCTTACGGGAAAGGTGGTAGTAGGCGTTTTACGGGCGGGACCTACGTATGCATAGAGGAATGGCAGAATAAGTATAGATAATTGTTAAATTCGGTTTTCGGGAGGGGGAAGGTTTTAATGCATTGACATCTGGCAAGCGAAATTAAGCAGGAAAATTAAAAAAATAAACATTCAGGATAAGACGTGGTTATGTGGCCCCACCTGATGAACAAAATACTGTTGGGATTGGAGGTTAGGGGGTTAGGGTTAGGGGTTAGGGCAACAATTTCTTAACCACTCGAAGTAAAACCGCCCATTCCCAATAGCTTTTCTTTTGCATATAATTACTTGCCCTCGACGCCTGTACGTTCCGCGGCCCACCTTTAAACTAACCTGCTACCACCGGTCACGTATTACAGGTGGCTGGGGTTTTTTTACCACAGGTGCTGCTACATAACCACATCTGACCACATTAACTGTCTACAACGATCGCTTCTCAACTCCCCGAGCTGAGGTCATTGTAGATAATGCACCAGACCGTCTACAACAGATGATCCGTCCTTGAACAATCAAACACCAATCCGAAGTAATCGCGTCTGAATAAAACCTATTTAATAAGTATAATAGGTATTTTTTGTGTGCCACATATGCTTGGAGTCTCTCTCCCGATCCTTACCGTTTAGAAAAGTGGCACTCGGTGAATCTGTTGGGTGGCGGAGGTCAAGACAGGACACGCAAGCGTTATTACAGATGCGCACCTATAAAGAACGGTGCACATGGGAGGGGGGGGGGAGGCGGTGGGCGGTGGTACGCCTAGCCGCGGGCTCATTTCGCGCAAGCAGACTACGCCCGATCTTGCCTCCGGTCATCTTCACTGCGTCATGAAAACAGGCTCAGATGAACGAGGTGGGTAGAGTGCGGCAGATGCGGTGCAAGTCTACGGTTGCACCCACATCTCATCACAAGCGTGTACGTCGACGACTGCAATGGCCGCACTGAGACAACATATTATAAATTTACAAAGTACTTAGCCTCTTCCCAATTAGCAAATTGTGATCTCATTCACTTTTCTGTGACCTACCAGCCTCTTGACCAAAATTGTCTGTCAGTATTATTCACCAATGCAATCTTATTATTTAACTGGTGTCAACTTCAGAAGACGAAGATGCGATCACTGGAACAAGAAATTTATGGGCCTGTCGTTTCGGATTCTCACTCGAATCCGCCGTCAGAGACAGTCGCAGACAAAGATGATGGTGGCACAAGGAGTGCAGTATTTATAACACGTGGCTGCCGTTGGACCATATGCTCACTGTAATTAACAGCTTTCGCAATCACCGCTGGGGTCGTAATTGACGCGGTCGTGGCTTGTCAGTCCGAGTCCGAGTCGTTAATGGTCCGTGATTTCGTCATCGGTGCTGGATGCTGGTGTGACAATTGCTCGGCAAACTGGCTCACTGTCAATGGAATACTTGCTCGCCCGCGCCCTCCCCACGTGACTGATTGTCCTGCCCAGGGAAAATCGCAGCACGGAATAGGGTACCGGGAGGTCATTGTGCTTGTTGATGGATTGCGGCCCTGAGAAACATGACTCGAGCAACTCGCGGCTCACGCGGTTGCCACCCCTTGCGAGGATTTCGGCCTCTTGAAATTTGAAAATATGGCCGCCTCCCGTCGAGTGTGTCGCCACCAGTGAGCTAACGTCTTCCCGCCTCACTGCCGCACCGTTCTCAGCAATTCGCGTGCGGAGTACTCTCCTAGTTTCTCCGACATAGTTGCTTTGTCCGCAACTGCACCAGATCCGGTAAACGACTCCAGACGTTTCCTGCCGTGGCAGTGGGTCTTTTGCCCTCATTACTTGGCGCCTAATGGTTGCTTCCGGCCTGTGTGCAACCCCAACTCCAAGTGGGGTGAGAAGACAACTGACGGCTTCCGGGACATTCTCCACGTACGGAAGAGCCCGCCAAAATTTGGGGCCGGTTGGATTTGGCCTCTGGTGTCGTTTTCGTATGCACTGGTTGACAAAGTTGTGCGGGAAGCCATTTTCTCTGAAAACCCGTCGATGATGCAATTCAGCAGTCTTGTCTTCCATTTCACTGCAGTGCGTCTCAACGCGCCGGTATAGCGCCCCTACGCAATTGCGTTTGTGACTGATCGCGTGGTTCCTGTTGAAGTTCAGTATTTGCGTCCTACTTGTTGCCTTTCTGAACACCTTCGTTTTTAGGACACCGCAATCTTTGTGGAAGACAAGGACATCCAGGAAGGCCGGTTGGTTGTTTTCTTCCTCCTCCATCGTAAATCGAATGTCCGGGAAGACGGCGTTGAGATGTTCTTTGAATGTCAGCACCTGATCCTGTTCGATGACGAAGAAGGTATCATTCACATACCGAGCCCAGAATTTCGGTCTGTGGTGTCGGAAAACCAGCTACTCCAGCCGCCGTAGGACCGCCTCGGCTATGAGTCCCGAAATCGGCGAACGCATTGGCGTTCCCTTCACCTGCTCGTAGATTGTTCCGTCGAACGTAAAGTACGTCTTGAGACAGAACTTCAGGGGCTGGATGAATTGGGCGTGTCCGAGGCGATTCTCCATTTCGTCGTATTTCTCTCGCAGGAGTAGTTCGATGGTCTCGACTGCCAGGTCCTGCGGAATAGAAATAAAGAGGGCCGTGACATCAACGGAAACCATGATATCGCTTGGCAGGAGACATACTCCGTTAAGTTTCTCCAAGAATTGCGTTTAAGAGCTGACTGTGGTGTTCGAATCGGAGGTCAGAAATTACTTAAAGTGACAAATGGGGTTGGTGAATTGCTAAGTTGATTACACGGAAATCCACTAATCAAAGGACTAAACGCTCTAAGAAGTTGGACTTCGACGAAGGCCACTGGCTAATCCACCTGCAGATATTTTTTAACGTACTCCTGTCGGGCATTGAGGCGAAGTGCTCTGTGTAAGAAATTTCTATTCTCTCAAGAAAGCCTCTAGATAGATATTGTTGTTTCCAAGGCACTTTTGGAAACTGACACATTCAAAACATGACAGACATTCTAGACGCACCTCTTAGAGCCTATTTGAGTCCCCATCGTTCACGACTGTAGGGCTGGTCTCTGTAACCTAGCCGCATTTTCGGAAGCTGAGATATTCAAAACACGCGAGACAGTCTAGACAAGCTTCTCGAAACTTCATTGAGTCCCGAGCGTTCACGGCTGTGGGGCTGGTCTCCATAGTATGAGCACCGAATGATTTGGCTGGAGAGATGCACGCGGTTTGGCAAAGAGTCATTGGCAGTGAAACAAAATGCGGCTGGCCACCCAATGTCCCGACTGGTTCGCACACACCTAAGGTCACGTTCTGACAAGGTGTTACTATCGCCAACAGCATATGCATCGCCAGTGTCCACTACGTTAACATGATCATAAAATCACAATGGCGTCAGCTGATGACATCTGCGATCTCAGCATAGGAATCAATAAGGCCAGTGTGGACAACAAGCCGGGGCAGATGTGACTGTGTAGTTGCTGCATCCAATGGCACGTGGCCTTGTGTGTCGAGTGCAGATTTAAATCATGACTCCTAGACTGAGACCGAAGCGTTTGGCAGTGAACTTGTGGTGACGACAGCAGTTAAGCTCCACTTGCAAGTTCAATGCCTCCGTCGCGAGCGACTCAGCCCTTGGCTCGCCAACGCCATGAGATTGATCGGTATTTCTCTCTTTACCTACAGTTGGTGGGCTAACTCATGAAATGTCAACCAAAATTCCGAAATGCGTTTTCGTTTCGAAAAGATTAATTAAGTAGGGCTGCAAAACTAGTCAGCCTGCAACATATTTCTATAATAATTCAGTTACCTCAGGATGCCGGCTTTCGAATGAACTTCGTTCCGGCTGCATGCAAAAACCACACTCTGCAAAAAATGACTACTTATGTAGCATGAATTTTTCGCATTGATTTTCGATGCCCCCTAAATGTCCAATAAGATTTCATGAAAAAAATGCGTAAACATATTCATTCTCTTGCCCATTCGGTATATAATTACGTCTACTTCCAATGTTATACTCGAAGGAAGGGTATAATTCGGTTTTCAAAAACTTTTCCAATTCCCGACAAATTTTGAACCCGCTCTAACGTGACACTTGTAATCATGGATTACAAACTACAAATCGTATATTTTCCGCCTACGGAAAACCAAACATTTCTCTACGGTACTAAAGGTAGACCATATAGAATTCACAAAATTAAGCAGTGAATTTGATTCATATTGTTAACTGTGCAAGCCACCCTGGTAAATGCAGAGATATAACGATTTATGAACAACCATTTTACGGTATTTCAAAGTCTCATAATTGGAAACTTTTTTTAAAACCGGATTATGTCACACCTGCGAGTATAAAATTGAAAGAAGACGTAATTATCTACCGATTGGGAAAAAGAATGAATATTTTTATGCAAATTTTCCGTGGAATAAAATTGGACTTTTTGGGGTATCGAAAATTAAGGAGAAAAATACATGCTACGTAAGAAGTCATTTTTACAGCGTGTTGTTTTTACATGCAGCAGGAAAAAAGTTAGCTCGGAAGCCGGCATCCTGAGATAACTGAAATATTATAGAATTACGTTGCAGGCTGACTAGTTTTACAACACCACTTAATTAATCTTTTGGAAATGAAAACGCATTTAGGACTTTCGGTTGACATTTCATGAGTTAGCCCACCTACTGTATTAGCCACATTCGAATAAGGCTCAGACCCACGCGTGCATCTCGAGTAGTCAGCTTGTTGCAGAGATTGCCGTCACAGCCTTATTAGCTGTTCTCACGCTCCCTTTTTGCAGTAAAGGACGTTCTACTAACACTTTCTCCCGTCCTTTTGATTCTGGAAACTTCTCGTTGTCCATCGTCCTACCCCGACCAACTCGGCGTTCTGCGGGTTGATATTTGTGCTTGTCCCTCCCGATGTGCTGCAGAAACAAGGTCTCGCGCCAGAGATGCCCTCGACCAACATGCGAGCCAGGTCAGTGTACGCATCCTTAAAAAATTCCAAACACGAGGGAATTATGGCATGCTCAGGCGCAGAATCAGTTCGCGTCATCCACTTTCGCCCAATCTCCGCACCAAGTGGCTGACCGCTTCGGACGATGGAGAGGTGGATGAGAGAAGGAAGATAAAGTGAGGTCAACTGTGTGGATTCCGTCCACCCGGCATCTCAGAGCACTTCCCTACTATAATCAACCTGACGCGCCCTTAAACTATCACGGTGTGCTTAAAAACTGTGGCATGGAAGGCTGCCAACTGAGGTGTTATGAACGGCCATTACGAGGTATTTAAAAGTCTCGCAATCAGAAACTTTTTAAAAGCCGAATTATGTCCCTCCTTTGAATAAAGAATAGGGAGAAGACGTGATTTTTCACCGAATGAGCAAGAGAATGAATATTTTTATGCACGTTTTCCATGAAATATTACTGGGCTTTTAGGGGCATCGAAAATCAATGAGGAAAATACATGCTACATAAGTAGTCATTTTTACAGAGTGTAGTTTCTGTATGCGGCCGAAAGGGGTTCATTTGGAAGCCGGCATCCTGAGATAACAGAAGTATTATGGAATTATACTGCATGATGATTAGTTGTACAACCCTTCTTAATTAATCTTTTCGATACGAAAACGCATTTCGGAATTTCATTTGACATTTCACGAGTTAGCCCATCTACTTTAAATGAGTTTCCGGCAGACGGGCTTTCACCGGTAGCGATACTCCCTCCGCTTTGTGATTTGGGACTCAGTATCGGGCCTGCCAGCAGCCATCTGGCGCATTCAAACGTCCCCGCATCCTGGCGTGACCGAAATATGCTGGAACTGTGCTGTATTGTAGTTAATATTGCAGTCCTAGCTAAGTAAACCGACATCGTATTTCAAAGTTTCCTTTAACATTTTACAAGATACGCCACCTGCTGTAAGTTTCTCAACAAACAGCTAAAGATGATATTCCGTCGCTAAAATACGCTTTAAAGGCACTATCAGAAAGAAATGTTTACCAAGAAGCAGCATTCTGAAATTCCATTCATCTGAGAATGAAGTACACGATCTATCTAAATTGCAAGGTGGGAACCAGTCCATTCACACAGCATCGTACCTGTCCGTTTACCACTGCTCTTCATGAAATGTTCAACGTAGTCCGCATCCATTGCAAAATTTTATGGGCTCTATATGGTATCTTTATAAAGGCATAGAAGAATATGTGGTTTTCTTTATACGTAACGCATGCACCTTGTAGACTGAAATCACTAAGCGTTAATGCATCGGCTGACCAAGTCCCAAAATTATTCGGGAATTTGTAAAATTTTCAAAACCTAATTGTACTCCTTCTTAAAGTATACATTATAAAGATGACATGAGTCTCTGTCAAATGGGCAAACGAAAACACTTTTGTCCATTTTTTTACGAAATATATTCGTTTTTGATAAACTATCAAAAATCAACGGGAAAATGCATGCTACATAAGTAGTCATTCCTTACCGCGTACGGTTTCTACAGGAGGTTGAAAAGAAGTTTATTCAAAAGCCGACATCCTACGGAGTCTGAAATATTATAGGATTATGTCGCAAGTTAATCAATATTACGAATCCGCCCAAGTAATCCATTCTAATGGGAAACGAATTTCAGAATTTTAGCCAGCATTTCATGAAATCAGTCACGCACTATAAACTGCAAGGTGGGAATCAGTCTTCCCATTCTGCCTTGGAGCTGACGGCCCATAACCCACACAGGCATTGGCCTGAAAATGAGAAATTATTCAATGGATGGTTTCTACCGACAAGGACAAGGGCGTAACTGGGATTGCTCTGTCTGACTTATCTGCCTTGATCAGCACTACAACCCCACGGGGCTGCACACTCGAGATTTTAACTCCGAGTCAGTAAATCATCTGCAGCGTTCTCATCACTGTACCAACCAGCTCATATAATCTCCGCTGAGATCAAAAGTAGTTAGCCATAGGTGAGTAACGTGTACGTACCTCTTCTGATTGCAGAATGAAAACAAACATTTACGCCTAGCCTTTGAGATGAGTGCGAATGGCCTATGCGGATAATCCTACGGCTGTACAGAGCACTGTAATTCCTGATTCTAGGAGTGAGTGGGGTTTCGCCTTTGGGCTAATGGTTGCCAAGCGGAGCGCTCGTATGCAACCCACTAGCCGCGCATAGATCGATAATTCGGATCTATTTCTGATATGCTGCTGTCAGTTTGCAGATATGTAACCGGGTTCGTATTAAAACACCACGAAAGCGCGCCTGTCTAACAACACGAAACATGTCAGATCTGAGAATTTTACTATCCCTATTCTTTCTGCTACGGGGTCTTGGTCATTTTTAGACAACGGTGGCTTTTTTCGGCACTTCAAAAGTTAAGACATTTTTGTATTCACTCGTTTTACAAATGCGCATTTAGGGTTCCCTTATGACAGATGGGCATTCACCGATCAGGTTACGAGACATGCTCGTTCCGTTGTGCCTTGAGGATCATACCAGAACCCTCACAGACAGTCGCATAGCGACTAATAGTAGACGTAGGGAGATAGTACCGACAAAGACAAGGGAGACCGCAATGGCCATTTCTGGCTTATTAGCCGTCATCAGCCAGTCATACCCAACCCCAAGTGTTGATCACTTGAGATTCGAACCCGAGATCTTTGGTCCTGGACGGTGGCCCTCTACCAGTGAGCCACGGGCCCGTTGTCCTGTCGGTTGTGATCGGGAATATTAATTATTCATAGATTTCGCCTGATGGATTCTAGGTGAATTACTTAGGAAATCCTGTTTGGGCAGTCAACTTACTGTATCCGATTTGGTGGATTCCAGATGTTGCAGTAGGTGGGGCGGATAACATGACCCAAGTGCGATTAAATTCATGTCGTCCGGCCGGGTCTCGTAGCTCAAGTGGTTAGAGCGTTGGCTGTACTAAAGCCTGCCAATTACTGCGTGGGTTTGAATCCCACCGAGACGCCGAGTTTTTCACAGTTGGCTCAATATGGAACATTAATTATGACAGACAGGCGTTCACCGACCAGGTGTGAAACATGCTCGCTTCGTTATGCAATGGGGCTCATACTAGAACCCTTACGGGCAGTCGCACAGCGATTAACAGTAGATGTAATATTTGTAATAATATTTGTATCAGTATAAATATATTTATAATATTTATATAATATTCTCGATCACAACCGACAGGACAACGGGCCAGTGGCTCAATGATAGAATGAACGAAAATCCCGGGTTTGTACCTCAAGGGATTCACACTTGGGGTTGGGAATGACTGGGTGATGACGGCTAATAAGTCGGAAATGGCCATTCCGATCTCCCTTGTCTTTGACAGTACTATCTCATTTATGGTTCCGTTCGTAAAACTCAGGGCCAACTGATTAGATTTATCACTTGATTTTGAGACTCCTTTAAGCACAAATGATCTAACTTATGGTCGGATCATTTGTACTAACTGCAAAATTTGGGTCAACTGATTTGCAAAAACGGTCTTATCACGATTTATTACTAGTAAAAAAGCCCTAAACTCTTTACGCTGACAAAGGTCTAGAGAGATAGAAATTAACGTATTTGCAGAAATGCTCAAATATACGGAGAATGATGGCGAATTTTCGAGCTCCAGATGAAGGTATGGGCAGAGCAGTAGAATGGTAGAGTATCGAAATAGTTCGCCAAGTATTCCTAGTTTTCCAACTTTTGTAGAAGTCCATTTTTACAACTGGCAGCAGCAGCAGCAGTAGCACAGCAGACGCAGTTTTTGGAAAGTTTTAGCCAATCAACGATCAAGTACACAGATCTGGAGGTGACTGCGCAGGGCTTTGTATGCAGGCGCCGGATCGACGCTTCGATTGGTTGAGTCCTCATTAGAGGTCCAAACTTCAACCAATTCTCAGCTTGTCTTGCTCCCAGCGTGAGCGACCAACTTGGTGACTACGAATTTAGACGCATGAATCGTTTCGTAGATATCGGCAGCCACTTGGGATGCCGTCGCACAGCTAGCTTATTTTCGCGTATACGCGATCCTATCATGCGTTCAGTCTGGCCTGGGTAGTAACGTGAACACTTTGGACAAGGAATACAATACAGTTACTCAGATGGCTCCTTGGCATTCAATCGGTTTTGAAATTATGTAAGGCACTGTCGGTCGAAATCCAGACATGCTGTTAATTCAACGAAAAGGTTGCAGGGTACAATGCAATTTTTTTACCCGGTTGACATTCGCGTTCAAAAATAAACCATCGTTTCTCCTGCGGTGAAAGCGCGAGAAAGTCCACGGACGTTTTTTCAAAAAATCCTGCACGTTTCGGCTTAGGAAAAACTGATTAAATTACCTTAGTTGTTTTTACGAGAAACAGCTGTTCCGACTCAGCGCATTGAGTAAAGTGAGACAAACTTTAAAAGTGAAATTTTAACAATTCGCAGCTTTATTGGCGTGGGCGATTCACTCTCTTTAGAAAGGATAGCGTATAAAATTCTTGGTTACACCAGGATTTAGTACAAGGAGACCATAAGAACGTATTACTTACTGGGTAAATTGTCTCTAGGTAATTTTAGGTGGCCTTACCGAATGTTTCGCGTGATGACAGCCAACTGACGTGCATTAACCTGGAAAATGCGGAAAACATGACCCTTCCCCGACGACTCCTAAAATGTTGATCTACATTCCTTTGTACGTTACCTTGCCTCTTGCCTTCTTCTACTGCCTTTTTAAGTCAGTTTTTTGCTAATAAAACATCTTGTTCTAACTTGCAACCTCGTTGATTTCTTATCCATTTACGGAATAAATTCAGGCCGCTGTGTACTTATACTTCGTTGCCCGTCTCACGAAAAAACAAGCAGCAGTTGGCAATCCGTTTCAAAATTTTGGTTCCAAAAAACCACAGAGATTATGTTTTTTTATATCTTTATGTAGCTGACAAAGTGTTTCAACGGTGACACCCTGCCTCGGTCGTTATTTGCGCCATCACAGTCTCTACAAAGTGTTTCATGCTGCGTGGTACGGACTTTTGGGTACCCCTATACAGATCGCATCTCCCCGGACAAAGCCTAGCCAAGAGTTGTGGGACCCAATGTAAAGCATGGATTGCTCTAAGGAAGAAGGCAATCCGATTGAGCCGCAAAAAGTTTTTTCATCCATCCTCCCTACCCTGGCGACTTTTTAATTTTTTCATTTTATTTCGAAAAGAACCTCCCAAAATTTCCAGCAAAAATGCTTTCACTTTAACGTGGATAAACATCGGTACGTGAAATAAATAACATCTGACGATTAGAAACGCGATATATCGGCCCCAAACTGAAACTGTCGATGAATTCGATGCGTGATCCACGCTAGATTGCATTTCCTTCGAAACGGCGCTAGTTTAGTGTAAATATGACCTCATAACTGCGGTTTAAACATGCAAAAAGGATGTAAATCAGCTTGTAGCAGGTACAGCAGACCAATTATTGTGTAAATAAGACAAATTCCAGAGGGATGGAGAGGGAAAATTGGCAACTTAAATTCAGATTAGACAGATCAACTCCATGGTCCCTAGGAAACCAAGAGATAGTGAACCAACCGACCTCATAGACGGTCAAAAGGCAGGGTTTGCGTTTTTCGTCGACTGTCGACTCAAACCGTCATCCCTCTAGAGGTATAACGGTGACAGTCCCGGCAAGCTCAACGTAACCTTCCAAAGAACAAAGTCTGGTCTGTTAGGTTCCAGGCAAAGGAATTTGAACGGCCAATTTATAATCATCTTGAAAGATCGGGCAGCCTGAATAAGGACAACGTTCTGTGCGGTATAAGACCCATACCTAACTACCCCATGACTTCTTGTGTCTACAGTTCTTGTCAGAATACCCTGTGGCTTCGCAGCATGCCAGTCGACATGTTTGGCAACAAAAATCTCGTGCGAACTTCCCAGCAGGAAATAAAAAAAGGCTTAAGACTCTTTGCCGAACTTTCATTGCAAGTAGACATAGGCATAACAGTAAATACTTCTGTTAGCACAGGCATTAAAGCTAAGGTTTTGCGTATTGAAAAAAAGGAGCTTCATGCGCATACGAAACACATAATTACTAGTACTTAATTTTACTACTGTTTTATGACACAAAGCACTTCACTTAGGAGGCATGGATCGCATTGGCCTTTTTGTTTGGTCCAGGCTTACAGCTCTCGAGCCCTTAGAGCCACTTATGGATAATCTGTGAAAAAGTTTCGTTTTTGCCTATATAATTCTATAAGAAATTTTACAATGACAACGGAGCAACTTCTATTCCTAGATACAAAGAAGATGACGTTCTTGGTAGCCTCTTAAGATCTCTTACATATATATCGTTCCACATATTCCATCCAACGCACAGATAAGATGGAAGCTTGCTCGAGTTAGATCTTGTTTCGTATTTGAATGGGGGCAATCCGCTAAGTCTGAACGTTCTTCTCTCGCCGGCCAAAAATCACCTGGAAGCTGACATTTAACATCAGTGGCCATAGAGAGTTTTATATTAATAAGCCGATGTTAGAACTCTCCGAAGCTCCTGTGATACAATTAAAGTCTAGGACGCAGTTACGATGGCGGCCCAAAGAGAGGATCACACGTCGAGGCAGGTGTATAGAAGCTTTAATGTTCACCGACTGCTCAGTCGGTCGCCGCGTTAATTCGCCCCCCCCCATCTATCTGGCTTTACGAACTTACTTGACACGAGACACTTAAGACGTGGAAAAACGGGACATCTGATTATCGCTCCGACCAGTGGGGAGGTAAGAGACACAGGTTTTATTGTAGTGGGGGTCAGATTCATCCCCACACTCGACATTTTGCGACCTACTCATCAGGAAAAAGTGTGTCATTTAATGACAGCTGTTTGAGGAGTCTCCAGTTTCTCAAGATAAGTATCCAAAACTACTTCTCGAAAAGACAGTCGCAAAATAAATCACTTCCCGCGATCATCACTTCTAAGAATCTTATTTTCACGATTAGTTATAATTACTATCAGTTGGTCGGTCGCGGAATCGAGAATTTCGCTTAATAGAGTTTTGTCAAAATTTTTCGGTTCAAAAAATAAGCGTTCGCTCTCTCCTTATGTCTGATATAGGGCAACTCCCAGCGACATTTCAAAGGCAAATCTCTGGCCACACTAGTCAACCAACAGCTTGATCTTTTTGACACGAAAGGCATTAAGATGAAAGTCAGGAAGACGATTACGAGATGGTTGGCACAGGAGAGGGTTCGGCGGAGCTTTGTTTCAAGTTGGAACTCATTCCTCTGTTCTTCTAGACACGCGTCCTGGACCTTCAAGCCCCAATGCTACACAGTAACTCTGCTGCTTTTGACGCTCCGGATGTGGAGTTCCTCCCTCCTGCAGTGCACCCTTTAAGCATCATCTTGCACAAAAAATCAGTGTCTAACTCCCGCGCCTGCGTGGATGCACAGACAGCATGGAAGTACGTGACATTCACGCTTGCCTCTCTGGCCTTGTGTGCCACAAGGCTTTTTGAGCCTTCTGGCAGGTAAAGTTGACCAATCAACAACGCGGACTCTCCGAGAGAAAAGTATGAAAAGCATCTGCTTGCCCTTGTACTTTTATAGAAGGAAATTCTTTTAGCAAACTGCCACACGTATAGAAAAAGGCTTGCTTTAGAGGCACCCAAGGCGGATGGAGCGCACGATCACTTACTTCCCTTCCCGTCATGAAAAGACACAAAATATGAGATTTGATTGGACGGTCTTCGTGTTCGCTCTCTGTCCACTTGACACTAACAGACAGCTGCCGCGTAATGACCTCATAACCTACATTGTTCCCTAGGGATTTGACATGATCAGTGTGAAAACTGGCACATGGAAGTTGGCAATCGCATTTTCGACGATATCATTGTCAAGCAAAGTGATATCGCTAGAAGAAATAATGTAGTTAACTTATACTGGTCATTATTAAATGAAAGATATCACCTTAAACCAGGGAACTTGGGATATTCAAATAACGAAGTTTAAGATCGTAGGTAATAAAAGTTCTGACGTAGATTTTTGTTGTTCTAAGACTGGAAATACTGTCCTTGGCAGTGTTTTCAGGAATGATTCGCTGCATTTGATCTGCGAAAGATCATGCAATCAGTGCGATGTTTACCGAATTTCGGAAATGCCTTTTCGGTTAGGAAGGATTATTTAAGTGGAGCTACAAAAATGACCATCTTGCTATATAAACCCACGATATATTAGCTTTTAAAGACACTTTTTCCGGCCACCTGAAAATGCACGCTCGGTAAAAGTTACTGCTCTATTAATATGATTAGTTTTTTACGATGCCCTTTTAAATCCAAATATATGTTATGGAGAACTTTAACACAATATTGTTTTTTGTACTCCTTTAGTAGAAAACCGTGTTTTTAAGTTTGAGGATCGAGGCAAAACCATCTTTTGGTTTTAGCTAAGCTTTTTGTTTCTTAAATAACTGAGTTCTATCTGTCATTACATTCATCTTTAGATTCTTCAGCCTATGCTCTTTATGTTTTGCCTTTGGATTAAACCTTTATTTGTTAAGCCAAAAAAAGATATCATATGTGGCTCATAAAATGTTTCCATGGATGCCGACTACGCTGCATACTCAATGAAAAGGACTATTAAACAAACAGATACGATACTACATGAAAAAAATATTTCGTAGATACAAAAAGTCCCAGAAGTACAATCTTTTCAAAATCAAATAAATTCTCTCTTTAGGTGTAGCATTTAAATAAAAAGCAATCTGCTGCCAATTAAGCACAACAAAAATGTTTTGTGTGTTTTCTATACAATATATATTCGAGTTCGCGTAAAGATTCGAGGTTCAGACATTGTATCGCGTTCATCAACTCCCAAAGAAGAGGAAGAAGAAGAGACGGCGAATTGATGGGCCATCTTGTATTCCAGCTGACGTTTCGGAGACTTCCTCGTTTCCATCATCAGAGTAGCGTACTTGTTGCACCTGTCGGTCTTGAGTTGTTCAGTCTTGCCGCTTGCTTCGCATTATAGCCGAGTTTAATAGGCTCATCAAAAGACGATAGAAAGAATACATATCCCTTAAGTAGCCATTTTTCCCAGGCTGCCGAAAAGAAACGCATTTAAAGGCCTGCATCCTAATGTGACTAATACACCCGGGGATTATGCTGAACGATAACTAATACTATAATCTATCGTTCTGGTCGTGTGGCAACTCTTTGCATCCTGGGCTTAATAGACATTTTCACGCTAATTCAGTTGGAAATGCGATAAGTACATAACCTGCAGGATTGCCGTTTCCGACGAAGGGAATGACACTTGACGTGGGCAATCGTTGAAAAAAAAACCCAAACACCAGGAGTTGCCGTGGGATAGTAGTTGCATAATGGGCACGGGGTTGGTGAGGACAAAGGCCCTCCGTCTGTCAATTTTTATGACCTATGCTTGAACACGTGTGTGGTCCAGAACAGCAGACATTCTAGGGCCAATTGCGTTTCGTGCAATTCAGTCCGGGTACATGACAGCTTGTTGCCAATAGAATGTTCCTTAGAAAAGACAACTATGATGTCCTTGTTGAATTCTTAAGACGGCGAAGCCGTTGGCTATTCTTAAAAACACATAACAGTGTGCGAGAAAATTATCTGAGCAGTCGGACAAATCGTGGTATGTAAAATTAGAACGACTTGCTGCACTTAAGGCATGACTGTTTCTACTCCCATCCGAGGTTTCCCGCCGACCGTTTGTGCGAAGAAAATGCAGATCACTCAAATGTTCTTAATCATTACATGTTTTAAGGCATCCAGTTAACATAAAAATGTACTGGTCGGATGAGCATTTATCGATTTCGAACGCCTACTAGTCAGTTATTCTTAGGAATTTTTATATGAAATTTCGTAATATGTGAGAAACGTCCCATTTCCGCGGAGCATCAGTCGTTGTGTTCTCTTATTTAAGCTTCAAGCACCAGGCGAATCCAAAACACTTTTGGAGCTATATTATCGGGGAAAGTAGCACGTTACGGCGAAAATCGCTCTTTCTTTAGAGGCAGGGACCTTTCAATACAAATAGCAGTTCCAGATCACACGGAATAGACAAAAGTTATCCAATCACCTTGTTAAGGCAATCTTCGCAAACTCGGAAATCAATATTCTTTCCAGAGTAAGTAATGAGAGGCATGGTGGAAATATTCACTCGAGTTCGGAATAAAAGTCTCTTCTATTTATAAATCTCTGCAACTATGTGTCCTAAAAGAAGTAATAGAACTAATAGAAAATCATCTGTTTGTGAATTCCAAGCATACGCGAATTTTCCATAAGTGACCTTGGAAAGGTTTACCACCAAACGGCCGTTTCAACTTTTGCACGAGATGCTCTTTTTAACGGTTTATTCAAATAACTACATAATTCAAAAACGGAACTAATACCATGTTGGTCGATAAGGAAAATTTTAGTATCTATACTTTCACCGTGTAGTGCACTTATAACAGCGGAGCGAAGCACGAAAGTAAGCAAAGGTTGAGTAAATTTAGCAAAATAAGAAAGAGCTGATTTCTCTTTAACGGGATTGTTAATGCTTAAATTTCTTCGCGAACGTACGTCAAAAAAGGTAAAGGATTCAAAAATTCATTATTCGGATTACCTAGTAAGGGCTTGTAGAGAACTAACTTGCAAAATAAGTTTTCACTTGACCAAGAACACATTTTTACAGGCTTTCGCTGTGGACCTACATGTATGACCCAAACCAGCGTCTACATACCCAAAAACAGGCGATAAATCACTACATAAGTAAACTTTCTTAAGAACTGCGATAATTCACCAAACCGCAGGACCTGCTTTAAGCAACTGTATGGAGTTATTGACAGCAGAAAAATACTAGTTACCATTTCAACAACTCATTTGGACTCGACAGATCCCCTATCAGTAGAGGGCATGCAGTTGACTTGTGGGAGAAGATTTCTACCAGCATACAAATAGGACATGCTTGTGGTCACACCTACAAAGTCAATCCAGATGGTTTTTCTATTGACCCTTCAAGTAGTGCGTTATCTTATACAAGCTTTCATTCCTGCTACATCTTTACCCAATAACTCGTGAGAAAAAATTCCTGCTTTAATCAGTTGAATAGGGACTAGAACAAAACTGGAAGATCTAGTTTCCTAAATCCGCGTAAATTCTAAAAGACTGTAGATCCGACATTTCGACCGTCGATTCTGACGATGTCTACCGTTTGCTTCACTCCAAGGTGACTTGGTCGTGAATTAGTTTATAATGATAATAGACCTGAAGAAGGAGACACGATCGCTCGGACAGGAGCTTTATTGGCCTGACGATTCGGATTCCTGCTAGAACCCATCATCATAGAAAAAGCAGATACGGATGGTTCATGCACATGCGGCTGCAGTATTCATAGGATGCAGTTGCCATGCTACCGCATACCTATGAACATTCACGGCTCCCCCCTACATCAGGGATCGTCGCACTTGGTGTGATGACTGTTTGATGGCCAACATTCGCGTCGTTAATTGCCGCAATCGCATCACGTGTGTTGGTGTTGGTGTGATGATTGTTCGACCATCTGACACACCGACACTGGCGTTGAAAAAAGTTTTGATCTGTGAGCTTACCGCGTGTCTAATTACTCCGCCAAGGCGAAGTCTCAGCACCAAGTATGGAGCGGGGAGATCGTTGTACTTGTTCATGGGATGGAGGACCAGTAAACCAAGACTCAAGCAGCACCCGGCTCGAGCGGTTGTCACCTCTAGCAAGAATTTCGGCCTCATCGAATTTGAATGTGTGGCCGGATCTCGTCGAATGAGCCGCAACTTGAGAGCTGGCGTCATTTCTCCGCACCGCTGCAGCGTGCTCGGTCATTTGCTTCCGGAGATGCCCTCCAGTTTGTCTCTGATGATGGGTTCGAGCAGGAATCCGAAACGTCAGGCTAATAAAGCTCTTGTCCCAGCGATCGTGTCTCCTTCTCCAAGACTGCTTCCTGGGAGTCGTCTCGTCGCCTCTATTGATGATAGACCTGCTCAGCATCTACCGCACTCTCTCTTCCTCCTCTCCACCTGGACTCGGAGTCAAGACAGAGTCAAGAAGTCCGGAAGCGGGGTAGGGAGCAGACGGCTGGATCGGCCGGACCCGCACTTAGACGTGCCACTACAACCCCTGGTCCACAACATACACTTAACCAGAATTTTTCGCCAACAACAACAACACCCCAACAGGGGTCAGAAGGACGAGGGAAACGATTGGGCAGCTGTGCCAATCATCTGTTTACCCAACGGGAGCGCAAACGTATCTACCGGCAGGGAACCAGGTGTCGGGGAACTGCCAGCGCATACCAGGCTGCGAGGGCCATGGTTTACTAATACCGGCATAGCACACGCTTTCGGACACTAATTCTTCGAAAATATTTCGCCCATCGATAAACAAAAGTGGACTTATAGATGCCGATGTGCTTAAATTCTTTTGTTTATTCAGTTGCTTGCCAGAACCTACGCTAAGGTGCTTCTGAAAATGATGTTTAACGATTTAGCACAAATTTTCGCGCCTTCGAGATTTTTGCCGTTCTTCAAAATTTTTTATCTCCAATTCAATTTACTTCAATATTTTTTGGACTTTTCTAGAGGTTTTCCATTTTCAACTGGATATACTAGCCGACACATTCAAGCAATTTGTGGAATAATTGCACCACGGGAGTTATGTCCCATTCTGTACACTTTATCCGGCGATTATCTACTTTACACATCAGTAATGCTCTTCCAACTGAGTAATCCATTCCAGGTTTAGGGGATTAAGGCGGAATTAGTCAGCCTTTAGTGCTTTTCGGTGCATGCTTCCTCTCGCTGCCTCGAACTTCATCTCTTCTCTAGACAGGCTCCGACAAACTATTGATAACCCAAGCAGAAGAAGCAAGGATGGATGAAAGATTTTTCGGCAAAGCATGCACGGAGCTCCCTTGATCTGACTAAAGCCAGAACTCGAAATCGTAAGTACAGTGAATGACCGATCTCATAAATTTTAGCCGAAATCCTGAAATGCGTTTTCGATTAGAAAAGACCACTTAGGTGGGGTTTTGATACTCATTATCATGGAGCACAATCCTATAATATTTCGATCCCGCCAGGATGTCGGCTTTTGAATGTAGCTCCTTTCAAAATCCTGCGGAAATTGCACCCAGAAAAGAATGACTATTTAATTAGCATTCATTTTTCACATTGATATTTGATAGTCTTATAAATTCTAATATATAGTAGGTGGGCTAACTCATGAAATGTCAGCCGAAATTTCGAAATGCGTTTTCGCTTCGAAAGGACTAATAAAGTAGTGATGTAAAACAGATGATGATCCTGCAGCGTAATTCTATAGTAATTGGGTTACCTCAGGATGACGGCTTTAAAGCAAACTCCTTTCAGGCTGCATGCAAAAACTACACTCCGTAAAAATGACTACTTAATTTGCATGCATATTTCCCATTTATTTTTGATGCCCTTAAAAATTGGATCATATTCCATGAACATAGACATAAAACATTCGTCCTTTTGCAAATAGACGCGAGGAGACGAGTCCCAGGAAGCAGTTTTGAAGAAGAAGAAGAAGACACGATCGCCGGGACAAGAGCTTTATTTGCCTGACGTTTCGGATTCCTGCTCGAATCCATCATCATAGACAAAAGCAGGTAAGGGTGGTTCATGCACATGCGGCTGCAGTATTCGTAGGATGCAGTAGCCATGCTATCGCATACCTATTCACGGCTCCCTCCCCTTCATCAGGGATCGTTGCACGTGGCGTGATGGCCGACATTCGCGTCGTTAATTGCTGCAATTTCCTCACGTGCGCTGCATGTTGGTGTGATGATTGCTCGACCATCTGACACACCGACACTATCGTTGAGAAAAGTTTTGACCTGTGCGCTTACCGCGTAGCTAATTACTCCGCCAAGGCCAAGTCTCTGCACCAAGTATGGAGTGGGGAGATCATTGCACTTGTTAATAGACTGGGGGCCAGTAAACCATGACTCAAGCAGCTCCCGGCTCACGCGGTTGTCATCTCTTGCGAGAATTTCGGCCTCGTCAAATTTGAATGTGTGGCCGGAACCCGTCGAATGAGCCGCAAATTGAGAGCTGGCGTCATTTCTCCGCACCGCTGCAGCGTGTTCGACCATTCGCGTTTGGAGAGGTCTTCCGGTTTCTCCGACGTGATAAAATTGCAGCAATTGACGACGCGAATGTCGGCCACCACGCCACGTGCAACGATCCCTGATGAAGGGGAGGGAGCCGTGAATAGGTATGCGGTAGCATGCCAACTGCATCCTATAAATACTGCAGCCGCATGTGCATGAACCACCCTTACCTGCTTTTGTCTATGATGATGGATTCGAGCAGGAATCCGAAACGTCAGGCAAATAAAGCTCTTGTCCCGGCGATCGTGTCTTCTTCTTCATTCATCCTTGTGCTTATTCAGTAGGAACTTATGTCTTCTTCCAGCTTTTTACTCGAACGAAGGGTTTTAAACACGTTTTTAATTGTGAGATTTTTTAATAGCGTGAAATGGCCGTTCATAAAACTTTGTGTTATGCAAAACAACATTATGGTGGTTTTACTATTTCTGGGACACTCAACCGCCAATTACTTGACAGTAAACAAATGTGTGGGACAACAATTTTTGACAGGATACCGCAACCGGGCAGCTTAATTTGAAGAGTTTCCTGTGAGATAACAAGTAGTATCTATCTAGTAGAAGAATCCACAGGTTTTATTCCAATGTATAATCCAACATTTGCAGATGTAAGTAAGCACATAGACAAGTCACTGTCTCTTCCTGTTATGGTATCTCGCGGTACAATGATCTCTTAAGTATGGAAAAAAGTAAGAGAACGAGTTGCACATAGACCGGAGGCAACCATCAGGCGTCCGACAATGAAATCGAAAGACCCGCTAACACGACAAGAAATGTCTGGAGTCGTTTATTGGATCTGGTGCAGTTGCGGACAAAGCAACTACGTGGAGAAACCGGAAAACTGCTCCGGACGCGAGTGGCCGAACACGCTGCAGCGGTGCGGAGAAATGACGTCAGCTATCAAGTTGCAACTCATTCGACGAGATCCGGCCACACATTCAAATTTGACGAGGCGAAATTTTCGCTAGAGGGGACAATCACGTGAGCCGCGATCTGTTTGAGTCATGGTTCACTGGTCCCCAGTCCATTTACAAGTGCAATGATCTTCTCATTCCATACCCGGTGCTGAGACTTCGCCTAAGCGGAGTAATTTGCCACGCGGGGAGCACACAGGTGAACATTGCTTCCAACGCCAGGGTCGGTTGGTTAAGATGGTCAAGTAATCATTACACCAACATCCAGCACGCGTGATGAAATTGCAGCATCAAACAACCATCTCATCAAGTGCAACGATCGCTGGTGAAGGGGGGCGAGCGACGGTGGCATGGCGACTGCATCCTATAAATACTGCAGCCCCTTGTGTATGAACCGCCCCTATCTGATTTTGTCTCTGATGGTGGGTTCGAGCGGGAATCCGAAACGTCAGGCTAATAAAGCTCTTGTCCCAGCAATCGTGTCTCCTTCTTCCCGAATGATCTCTCCTTTCATTTAAGTACAGGGGAAATCGGTTACTGACTGTGTTTGATTTAGTTAGAGCTGTCCAGCTGTCCAGTGGATAAATTTCTGAGTATTTTGCTATTCTGTACTCAGAGTGGTTAAAATGCAGTGTAAAATCGATTTGCGAAAATGTATTTGGCACAAAATAGGACATTTGATGCCATCGCACCGTATTTTGTGCTGCTGATGTTCTCACCTTTGCCCCGTCGTTGCAGCAAAGAGAGCCTTTAAAAGGCGGCGGTGCGTTCGGTCGGATCTTATTTCGTGGCCTTACCTGGAGTAGACATACCCCGACCTAACCCCTGACCCTAATCCTTAGCAGCAACCGCTAACCCAAATCCCTAACACTAACCCCTAAACCCAACCCTTATACTTACCCCAACCCTGACCCCTGATCCTTCACCCAAACCTTAACCCCTAACCCCCAATTCTGATCTCTAACCTCTAACAGGTGCCGTTACGAAATAAGATCCTGCCGTAATTTCATTAGATATCCATGTGTCAGGAAACCGAGTAATGTGCAAAACCTATCAACGGAGTATTTATGAAAAACGCAAAACTTCTCTTTTACAAGCTTATATAGCATCCAGGCACATTTGAGTACAGCGAAAATCAGTTGCCGACCGTTATCCTATATGCCCTGTGTTTGATTGAGTTGAAGCTGTCCAGCGACTTACATGGATAAACTGCTGAGTAATAAATAAGAAAACTGGTTGTACAAAGGAATTAGCTGTATATTTTTCCGAGCTTTCAAACTCGTTCAGGAATCCACCGTCAGAGGTGGCAACAGTAGCAGGAGAGCAAGTGTAATACCGAGCAACGAACCATCAGTGAAGCAAGTCTGCAAGTGACTACACGGCAGGGTCATTAAACTCGTGGACTGAGTAAGTCCCTGAGAGCAGCTTAGAGTTGTATATAGTGTCCTCTGCGTAAAATGTCTTCGTAACTGCCTGAGAGGGTTCTAGTATGAGCTCCAAGGCAAAACGGAAGGAGCATGTTTCGTAACCTGATCGGTGAGCGCCCATCTGTCATAATATATACATATATATAATATTCAAGCAGCTCACTAAGAGTGCAACAGGACGGACGCGGGCAGCTACTTCACGGCCGTTACCGATCATCAGTGCGTTATAGGCCTTATGAAGTGAGGTATATAGACATGTTTATATACATATATTTAAATGTTCGAAGTGCGTCCACCGACCAGGTTACGGGACAGGCTGATCCATTTGTGTTTTGGGGTTCGATCTAGAACCTCGTAGGCAGCCCGGCCAATAAAAATTGACGATCGAAGGGGCAGGAAATATAAGCAATGAACCTCATCAATCCTTCACTCAGAAGTTTGTGGCTGTGAGAATCCATCTATCAGTGACGTTCATTAAAACTATTGGGATCCAGAACAAAATGAGAGTTTCCGTTTTGCTTTGCACATTAGCCTAGAGTCTTAGCAAACGGTAGCACAGTGATGAGCAGTCACTTATTGAGAGACAGGGGTCCCAGAGTCTACAACCATCGTTTCGGGCTTGCTTGCCGTCGTCAATTACTTTCGCCAATTCCAGAACGGGATAGCCTGAGCTCCAGACGCGAGAAGACCCCGTTTACAATCGCAGGCCACTCCAGCTGGAAAGTGGCGGCAAATGAGTTAGAAGTGATAATTCAAACCATCATCGCACTAACTACGATCACCAATATGAGCGGGGAAGTTACTAATGATAGTAGGCATGCGAGCTCATGGCAGCTGCATTCCACGTGCATCCAGTACCCCTATCCGTGGTTGTCCCTGATGATGATCCCTTTTTACCAGTTAAGTCCGGTCTGGTCTTTTCCGCTGATCAAATACTGGACAGTGGGCACCGTCTAGAAAAACTAACAAGCTAACATTTAGAAACTGCGGGAGGTCCGACCGAATCTGGGACGTGCTCCCGCCTTTTCAAAAGAGTCTAACAACCTTGATAGGTATCTGTATATAATGTTATATAATGTATATGATAATGCATATCTATTGGCTGGAGGTAGGCACATGTCGATCTCATCGAGTAAGACTCAGTGTGCAGCTATACATGCATGCCTCTAAGCACAAACAGTCGATGTGCTAACTAATGAAATGCTAACCGAAATTCTGAAATACGTTTGCAACATTTATTACCGCGCAGCATAATCTTGAAAGATTTCAAGCACTTCGAGATGTTGGCTTTTAAAAGAACTTGTTTTCGGCGGCCTGCAGAAACTATACTTGGTAAAATGTGATTACTTTGTCAGTACGGATCTTTCCCAAGGATTTTCGTCCCTCTTATATATCCAAATATATTTCATAAAAACATGCATGAATGTATTCATTCTTGTACTCATTTGGTTGAATATTAGTCTTTTTTTAAATTTCGTACTTGAAGGGAGGGTGTAGTTTGGTTTCAAAAAGTTGCCAATCATGTAAGACAATGAAATGCCCGTTTATAAAATACTGTGTCTCTGCCTTTACTTACGTTTCTTGTAAACTTTACAATGTGACTCGTACTTACTGCTAAACCCTATGAAGCCCATGTGGTCCACACTCAGTAGAGCACATAAATGTATGATTTTTCATACGCAGAAAATACACAGTTTGCAGTTTGGAAACCCTGGACGCAAGTATAAAGGCAGGTCGGGTTCAAAATTATTCAGCAGTTGGAAATATTTAAAAGCGAATTCCACCCTTTCTTCAAGTATAAATTCACAAATGCCCACACCAGTCGCATTCGTTTTTTGGTAGGAATCCACTGCAGTAAATGGCAAGAGTGTGGATATCATAAAGTATTTGGGAATGGCAATGGCGAAAATGCTTTGACAATTCCCGTTAACAAATTACTATTTCTAGTGGATACTTGCATTCACGAGTTTATCAGAGCTGTGTCGATCACGCATTTAGGCCGATCAAGTCACGTAGTCAATTCTTACATCGCAAGGAAAGGAAAAACAGGGCGTTTTAGGGGGGGGAGTTATAACTCGTTAGGCGGCTTTGGAGAGAACTACGATGCTGAAGCGAGAAGTGAAAGGAGAAACGTGACACTCGTACGTATGGGTCTACCCACCACAATTAAAAGGCAACTTCAACCGAGACTGATTAGTCAACAGCTTGCCAATTTCGTGGTTAACCTGGTTGCGCTTGAGAGAGAGCCCGTAAGGCCTAACGGAAGGAGTGACTTCCCTAAAAACGATCTGTGAAAAATGTTTTCCCAAACACTGCTTACATATGCGAATTCGTGACATATTCATAAAAAATATTAGAGGTAGTACAATCACTGTAGATCTTACCTAAAATATGTACCTTCGAAGTATGGAGGCATTTTTGCGGACTAATTGGTGCAGCTTACAGGTAAGATTCCAAGTGGGAACCTAAGATCCCAGGCTGTGCGTAACCATAGGCAGTTAGCATCACTTCTGTTGAGTCCCAGGCGTTTGGAACTTCACTGTAAGCTCTCAGTCAGTGCTCAGAGAATTTACTTACCTAATACAAAGCCTCATATGCTCTGGCCGAAGCGAAGTAGAAGGCATATTTTAGTTCAAAGTTAAAGG